CGCCGCTTTTGCAAAATACAAAATGCTTCAATTATAGATATAGTGCTGAAAAGAAATTTTTATAAAATATAATTTATAAAATTTAATTATAATAGAAATATTCATATTAATAAAATTAGTTTTATTATGATTAAATTTTTTTTGAATATATTTATTAAATGGTTTATTTATTTATTTTAGTAGATCATTAAATATAAAATTTTATGATAGTAAAAATATTCATAATAATAAAATTAATTTTATTACTCGTATAATTAAATTTTTATATATATTTATTAAATAGTCTCTTTATTTATTTTAATAGATCGTTTAATATAAATTATATTTATTTATTTAATGGTTTATTTATTTTTTTAATAGATCATTTAATATAAAATATATTTATTTATTGAATTGTTTATTAAATGGTTTATTTATTTATTTTAGTATATCATTTAATATAAAATATATTTATTTATTTAATGGTTTATTTATTTTTTTAATAGATCATTTAATATAACATATATTTATTTATTTAATGGTTTATTTATTTATTTTAGTAGATCATTTAATATAAAATATATTTATTTATTTAATTGTTTATTAAATGGTTTATTTATTTATTCTAGTAGTATTCATTTATATATTATTATTTAATTTTTTATTTACTTATTTTAATAGATCATTTAATATAAAATATATTTATTGGCGTATTACATTATTTTAATAGTTTTGTTATTTCAATCATATAAAATATTATTAGAGCGCAACTCATAGTTGGGTTAGCTTTATGAAATTCACTTTTTTAGCGCATTTTATCTTTTGAGCGCTTATGGCCGCAAAACTCATTATCTGTTGGGCATCTGTTGAATTTTTGTCATTTGGCTACGTTTAATTGTCGGCCAAAGAGGCGCGTGTTTGGCATTCACCGACTTTATATTGGCCCGTAAAACATTAATGTTCGGCTTTAAGTTTTCGGCTGCAATCTTTTCATTGGGGGCCATTGAAAGGAATGTGCAAAGCGAAGTCAATTTCGATGCCAACTGGTGGGTGGTCAGTTGGCTAAATACACACACACACACACATACATATACATAGGGGTGGCAAAAAGAATGCAGTCAATTTAAATGCAAGTGCAAGTCAAGTCGAGTGCAAAAGCGAAAGGAACTGCCAGCCAGGCAAATTGGCAGCGCAAACTAGCAAAATGCTTGCTCCACTGAGCAACGACAAACACTGAGCGCCAATGCAAATAGGTGGAGCAAAGACGGCAGAAGCTAAACTTAATGGCAACAGCGACAGACATTGCTGGGCGACCAGGGCGGCTGGAGGCGTGGCATTCGTATTCGAGCACTGACAACATTGTCAAAAGCAAGCAATAGCTGCGCGCCTTTCCTTCTTTGGCAGCCAAACTGCAAATTGTAGTCTCAGAAGTCGCACTTAAGATTTATTGATTGTTTCAACAGCACCGGCCTTGAGGGTCCAGCTGTCCTGCTTCGATGCTGCTGCTGCTGCTGCTGCTGCAGTCGTGCCAGTTCAACGTCAACATCGTGTCTTGGCTTATGCTATAAAAAACTTGCAACAGCAACAACAACAACAATAACAACAACAGCAAAGCGACTGACAATGCTGATGATGAGAAGCGCTCGGCCCCAGCCCCAGGCCTCAGGCCCTGGTCCATGCCAGAGCGAGCTGGCGTCCTCGTAGCAAGACGCACTTTTTACTGCAGACACACACACAAACACACACACACAGACACACACATATACTTGATCCTTTTCACGTTTTTTTTTGCTGTTGTTGCTTTGCGCTTGTTTTGTGCAAACTTTCAGCAACGATTCGGATTGAAATTCTTTTGTGTTTACAGCAAAATTTTTGCCTTATTACAAACAGACATATTTGTGTATGTACATAAATATATACACACATATATATATAGAGTTTTTGTGTTTTACTTATTTGCCACAGACAAGCTTTAAATGCGCACGCACACACTTAAGCGGGCAGTCGATTTGGTTTGGAAAAATGCGGGCCCCCGACCCAGGCGTTACTCATACGTCACATGGTACGTGCTGTTGGCTGCTGAGTGGCGCCTGGACAACATTTTTATCTTTTAATTACAGTCATTTCAGTGTGCTGCTGTTGTTGCATGTTTACATTTCAATAAATTGTACGCTTCCATCAACACACTATGCGCTCCACAGTCCGCACTGGATTCGCGTCATCCTCGCAGCGCAGCAGCAGCGCCCATCAGCAGTGCTTTTGCCAGCTTTGCGACGCTTCGACGCGACGCTCGGGCTTCCTAATGATTTTGGTCGCCCATAATGAGTTTTTGTTTCCAGCAGCTTAAGCTCAGCATAGCAGCAACAGCAACAGCACCAGCAACAGCAACGGGACAGCGAGAGACAACAATAACGGCAGCACTTTCCATTGCCATTTAATTAAAAATTGCGGAATAATTATTTTTCTTTGCGCAGCTTCTCACTTTGCCCGCGCCGGCTACGGCCAAGCGAAAAGAACTTTTAAATAAACAAAGGCGCCGAGCGCAATTTGAGAATCTGCAAATTAGCGCAAATGCAGCGCCAAGAAAACGTGGAGCATGGAACAAAAAAAAAATAAAAAAAATTAAAATAAAGGAAAATGGAAATCCAAGAAATTTGAAACTGCGAAGATGTGAAAATTCGAAAATGCGCAAATGGCAAGGCGAGCAAACTTTCCAATTACATTAAATCCGTTTTGCAGGAGTTGGCAACACGCACCGTTGACAATTTATTTCACGCGGTTTGCCTGTTGCAACTAACAAGTTGCAGCTTTCCAGTTGCCAGTTGCCAGTTGCCAGTTGTCAATTTAGTTCCAAAAGAGATTTGTCCAAATTCGCTGATACAGCCTGATACCTGCTGTGCCAGATGCCTCTGAGATTACGTGCCACAGCAGCCGGGCGCACGCGGCGTATGCGTAACTTGTATGCCTATGCCAAAGTTAGCAGCCCATCTATGAGGTGTCGCTTAGCTAGCCGACGGAGCTTAGAGCAAACGATGCTTTAAGTGCCACACAGCCAGAAAACTTTAACTACAGCTTAAACCTCGACACAAGTATGTATGTGTGTATGTGTGTGTGTGTAGCCGGGCCAACTGGTCGGGGGTGCTGACAAATGCCGTCAATATATCAACAGTAAACCGTAAATGATGAGACGATTTATTATGTTGCCGGTGCAGCAGCCAAGCCAACAAAAGAGCAACTGCAGCAGCATCGACTTACGTTTGCTGCCTCTTGGCAATAAGCTGGAAATAGCAGTCAGCCAGCGCGCTTAAGTGGCTGTTGGCCCCTGCCACTGCCACACGGCTGACACAACACAGCCTGACATTTGATGTACTACCCCACAATGCACTGCCATGCACATATACATACATACATACACACTTATGCATATGTATATGCATTTTGGCAACATTATACTCGACGCTTAATACTTTCTTCTTATGCTGTTGCGGCAACTTGTGCAGGCCGAGAGACGCCAGCTCCGAGGATGCTGCAGTGAAATGTATTTTTGCGCTCGTCGGCCGCGTACACTAAATAAAGCCTGAGCAAAGTTTATATAGCAATGCAGTTGCCGGCTACGGCAGCTTACGATAAGACCGAGCTATGCTTGAGCCGTGGGCTCAGCTAGAAAGCTTCGTCTAGAACAACAACAAATTCAATTTTGCTGCCCCCTAAGCGGATTACACGCTGTATACGTTTAGTTCAGCCCGCGCTGATATGGCACATCTTTAATAAAATATACATATATATAGATGGCTTGCCATCATAAATTGTTTACCGATTCTTGCGCACCTGCAGTCTAAGCAGCTGGCCAAAATTATGCCAGACTTCCATCAGGCCGCAGTGAGCAGCGACAGCAACAGCAACTCGAATGGCTTTTCATTATGCAAGACAGTGGCGGCAGTAGCAGCAGTAACAACGGAGAATAGTGCCGGTACGTTGCTTAAGGTGGCACTTGAGCTGCGCTTTTCTCTTTGCCATGCTTTTCATCAGAGCACTTAATTTGCATAATTTTGCGAGGTGTTTCGCAGCGCAAACAAATCAGCCAGCCACAGCAAACAGCAGCAACTGCAGCAGAGATCAGAAACTTGGCCGCCATTTAATTCCGTCAGCTTAAGGAAAGCGCAGTGGTGCAACCAACTACTGAGAAATATGGCATTCATTTTGGCATGGAACCGGCATCGCACGGCCATTGCAGCTTCCGCCATTCCACGGCCTTTCCACGCCCCTTCCACGGCGAGGCTCAGAGATATTGCGCTGTCAAAGCTTTTATGTGGCGTAATTTCATATTTTTACTTCATTTAGCGTTATGAAATTTCCTCTGCAATTCGTGCACTTTGCATTTTTCAACCATTTTTCACGGCAGCAACTCACAAAGGATTTTCCGCTGCCATTGCATGGAATGCAATTGCAGAGTAAATCAGTCCAAGGCGCTCAATAAGTAAATAATGACAAAGAATGCTCCAAATAGTCGAAAACTATCTAAGTGGATAAGGAAAAGCTCGCACACAGTCACTGCCAGCAATCGAGCGACAGTCGATTTTGCATTTAATTTGAGCTCCTCAAATGCAATCAACTGACAGTAAATTCCATGTGCACAGACATCAAAGCATTCGACTAACGATATAATCAAGCAATTTGCATATGTAGACAAATATATATATGTACATACATATGTATATACGAAATATTTTACAACAGTGCTCAATATAAAACTAAAACTATGAAAACAAGAAACCAATGAGAGGGGGGAGATCAAAGCTTGCGGCTGTCTGCAGCTCATTTGACAAGGATTTTCAGGAATCTGTTACACACATACACATACATATGTATATAAGTATAATCAGCATAGGTTTATATTATAAAATATATTATTAAGCTTACATGTATTGAGATTTCTTAATGCATAATGACTCAAAGCAAAGTATATGCAATCTGAATATTTCTCTCTCTCACTGTCTCTTTCGCTTTCTATCTACTTGCAGCTAAGTGAGGACATTGGCTATGTGCTATACTCGGCGCTGGGCTCCTTCTACATACCCAGCTGCATAATGGTCTTTGTGTACATACGAATCTACTTTGCCGCGAAGGCGCGAGCGAGACGCGGCATTAAAAAACATCCGCGCAAAACAAACAACGAACAGGTGAGTGGGATGAATAGGGGAGAATGGCCAGCAGGTGGCGGTGCAGCTAGTTGATGTGAGTGAGTAGTACTTCGGTAGATTGCAATTAAGCTGCAACCTTTACGCTGCACCGATCAATGGGTCTCCCCTTGATAGTGGGCGGCTAATTCATGCCTGTTACGCACGGTCCGGTCAGTCAGATAAGTTGAGCTGGAGCCGCAGCGAGGGGGTGGCGGCGGGCACTGTAAATGCAAATTTTGCCATTTGAATGAACAAGGCGGTGCTCGCAGCGTGGCAGCTGATGCAACGAAATTTTTCCACCGGCATATGTGGCGTATGCGCAATATTTTGCACTCGAACTCAGCGGGCTGCATTAAAGCGTTAAGCAAGTGGCTCACGCGCTTTGCTTAAATTATACACCAATTTGTGCGCTACGTGTTGACTGCAAAAGCATCGCTCAGCACTTTTGCCGCTGCACTTGGCCACGTTCCACCATTTGCTCAGTTTGCTGCAGCGCCGCGGCGCCATTGTACAGCGTCATTTCACGAAATGGCAACGACATAAAGGGAAAATCATTGAGCAAAGTTACGCTGATTGGGTACCAAAATCTCTAATGATTGAACATTGGGCGAGCGTAACCATCGTTACCTGGCCAAATTACAAATTACAGAGCCGGCCCCGGAGCCAAAGGTGAAGCAGACGGACGAGCGAAACACAATTAAGGCCAATTCGTTCACAATTTGCATTTTCAATTAACTGAGCGAACGTCCAACAGCTGGCGACACTTGACCACCAGCGATTCGGGCAAACAAAGAAGACCCGATGTGTCAGCTAGCAGCTGCCTCTCAGATCACAGATTAAGGCCGATGCACGCGCGTCCTCTGCGTCCTCGGCCGCTGTTAATTGCCCCGGGCCCGACGGTGCGAAGCATCGGGTGTTTCACATGCTTGTTTGTGTAATCATTGCGCTCGGACGCTTCCGACGTGCCCTTACACGGGCTTTAAAATCGGATTTTCGAAATGCGAATGTCGTGTAACAGCAACAACAGCAGCAACAACAACAACTCTTTTTTTTCCCCATCTTCTTTGCAGGTAACGAGCTTCACCACCGCCAACAAGAAAGGAACAATACCGATGCCATCCTCCAGCGGCGCCACGCAGCTGCAGCTGCACCAGCAGCGACAAATAGCCACCATTGAGACCCCACCGAACAGCGCGACGATGCCGATGCAAATACCGACAGTCACCATGGACCTGGCCTCGGACATATCCACCTCGGAGGCCGGCGAGCTGGAGGCCGTGGCCGCCCAGACGGTGCTGGCCTATGCCAATCCCAATGGTGGCTCCGGCTCAGCCACAGCGCTAGGCAGTGCTCCCTGCTCGCCGAAGGAGACACTGCAAGTCAGCACCATTGCCACGGGCCGTGGCATCGGACTCAATGTGCCCGTGCCGCCGTCCATGGGCAGCAACAACTCCATCAACGTGCTGAACAACAACAATGGGTGCGTGGCCAGCGAGGGCGTGGCTCGAGCCAACGCGCTGGCGGGCAACAGTGGGGCGACTGCAGCGAGTGGAGCGAGCGGTGGTGCTACTGGTGGTGCTGGCACGGCTAGCGGCAACGAGCTGCGCGTCTCGCCCGTTGCCGGACGCTGTCGTGCCCTCTCAGTGGGCGTGGACACGGATATGGTGAGTGAATTCGATCCTTCCAGCTCGGATTCGGGCGTGGTCAGCCGCTGTGCGGTAGTTAAGCCGCTCAAGTTTCGCCTTTGCCAGCCCATCTTCGGCCGCAAAGCGAACCAGCAGCGCCGCAACGAGGCCAAGGCAGCCACCGTGGCGGCCAAGAACAACGCCGCGGCGGCGTCCAAGTCGAAGGAGCTAGCCGCCAAAACCGAACTCGAACCGGCCATACCCAAAACACCAAAGCCCCGCGATCCGGAGAAGGAGAAGCGACGCATCGCACGCAAGAAGGAGAAGCGGGCCACGCTCATACTGGGCCTGATCATGGGCAGCTTCATCGCCTGCTGGCTGCCGTTCTTCTTTCTGTATATCCTGGTGCCCGCCTGTAGCAACCACTGCAATATACCGGAGTCGGCGTTTGCGATTGCCTTCTGGTTGGGCTACATGAACTCGGCGCTGAATCCGGCCATCTACACCATATTCAACAAGGACTTCCGACGCGCGTTCCGGCGCATCCTGTTCAAGTGATGTTTGGCCTACGTGTGCTGTTACAGGTGCGTTTATGCGAGCATCGAGAAGGCTACCGAACGTGCCATGGGCAGCACACCCATGGGCTATGGGCACGGCATGTATCAGCATTACAGACGTTAGTTTTGCTTGGTTTATGGGGGCATGCCCCTCTACCCTCTACACTCTACCCACTACCAGTACGGGGTATCATACTCTAAGCATATTAAGTTTACTATTCAGCTCAACAGTTTTTGTGGCTCACTTTAGTTAATCATCTGTTATTTAGATTCAATTTTTGCTTTAAAGTAACGAACATTGTAGCTCATGTCAAAAGCAATGAACGGCTGTGAATTTGATGGAATCTCTCAATTTCAATTTTGCAACAATTTTTAGTTTAATTTTCAACTGTGAACTTGAACCACAGCTGCTGCACACACACACACACATGAACTCACTTATCCGACCGAGAACAGCCCTCGAGCTAAGCAAACACAAGCTTCATCTAAGCAAACATCTTTTATGCACACTCAATGGCCATTCAACTTGATATTATTGCACAAATTTTCCATTCCAAGAGCACAAACTGCGGCTGCATTTCAATGCCAAAATGGGCTGAAAACTCACCCAGCTTTGCCTCAATGTGTCAGCGTGGTCAGGTGAAAAATAAGATGAAGATGAAGATGAAGAAGAAGAAGAAAAGACAGCAGCACGAATTGGGATCAAAACACGAAAAACATTCAGTTTGGCTGTCAAGTAAATGTCACCGAATACATGACGATCTGACTGGATGGATAAATGCTGTGCTTCAAATTAATCTGTGTCTGCCCCATGCTATGCCTCACCCTGCGGGTACCCTGAAAATTCATCTAAAATACGTTTCTCTGAGCAACCAGAAGTGTCACACTTTTTGCCTATGCAATTCAGCTTCGCTTTATATATTAAATTTATTTTTTAACTGATTAATTGCTGCAATGACAAATACTTGCATACTTAAATACATAAATAGTTGAAAGTTCAATTAAAAAATATAATTTTTAGCCATGTCAGCAGAGGTTTGATTCACAGTCAATATCAGTTAAAAGTTAAATTTTAGATTTATTTTCTAGCCATGGCAATTCAATTTTCGAGTGACTGATGAAATGTCACAGTATAGTTTCTGGCATTATAAGTTTGTTTACATCAACATCATCCATTCAGTCCTTTGATGCTGTTGTTGATGTTGCCTTGGCCCATTTTGCTGAAAGGCGCCTAAGTGTTAAAATAATTCAAAGAACACAAACACTCGCAAAGCAGACGCTGTCATTTCATATGGCACACAGTAAGAGATATTTTATACAGAGATAGAAGAATAGCCACAAAAAGCTACAACTAATGGGCATGCACAGATGTGCTATAGCCGCCTCCCTACCACTTTAGATGCCATAATTTTCGATGTTGTTTTGTTTTGGTTTTTTCTCTCATCTTTTGCATTTTTGGCTGTGCATCAGCAAATGCATGCGCCAGTCGCAGGAATAAACGACACGTCATTCCGCCAGACAGACGGACAGACAGTCAGTCAGCGTGAGAGAGAGAGGAAGAGAGAGAGAGAGAGAGCATAAAACTGAAGGCAACGAATGTTTTGGCATGAGGCCCATTTCTACTCCCCAAACATGTTCTCTATGGCCAAGAGCAAAGGCATAGAGAACTATGCATAAATTTCAGCAGCTATGTACATGAGTTTTTCATATTTCAGACACTTTGCGGTTAGTTGCACCTAAATTTAAGATGCGTGTCTCTGGGAGATGTAATCGGCTTGTTCCATGTCTTGAATTTATGGCTGCTTTTAGCTCTCGTCGTTGCTCGGCTTTCAACATATACCGCAAATGTATTAGATTTATTGGCCAGGCCATTTATTTTGGGGCACACGCAGGCTAAGTGCCGGCCGACTTTAAATTGTTCAGATGCTCATAAATAATGCACCAGCCAAATCTGTCAGTTACCGAAAAGCAACAACAAAACAAACATTGTATATTTTTTTTTTTTTTTTTTTTGTATGGGCATGAGAACAAGGGCTTTTCTTTCCAATCAACATGCAATTTTTATGACACGCACACAAACACACAGACTTACAGCGTGATTGTCAGCAACAACGGTGTGTATAGCAACTGCACTTAAATGACAATTTCAACAAAATGAAGGGACAACAACAACAGCAACAACAAAACCCAAAAACAACATCAAATGGCTGTGGGTAAAAGCTCACATCGAAAACAATTGAAATCGATGGCAAGGCAGGAGCAGTAGGAGTGCAGCTGGCAACCACAGCTACATTTAAATGTATGGCACTGACACACACACACACACACACACACGCCTAGTGCACTTAACTGCACTTTGGTGCGACACAGCAAGGATGAATGCCAAACGTTGGCTGCAACACATTTCTTTAGCTAACTTTGGTTTTTGCTGGGACATCGAAATTCATTTGCGCTTTATGTGTCGACCGTCAGCAACACGAAAAATCAGTTAGCATTTTAGTCGGGCTTGACCGACTGCTGTGTACCTGTACGACAGACATTATATTATTCAAAGCATGAATGAGTTTATTCAAGAAAGAAATAAATGGTATGTAAATCAAGTTCAGTTATAGTCTTGATCCTATTAGACAGGCTGATGTTTCCTTTTTTTTTATACCCTGATTTATATTGGTTTTTTATATTTGTTTGCTATATCCTCTATATAGGGATACATAATGTGAACCCATTGAAAATGGAAACTCAGCTTATAGAAGGAGGCATTTCAGAGCCTACAAAATATATATGTTCCTGATCAGCCTGGTTCATCTGTCTGTGTTTCTATATGTCTAAGCCCGACGATCCCAGAAGTTAGAAAAGCTAGAGATTTGAAATTTTGTTTGTAGGTTCGTATATTGCACGCACAGATTGACTTTCTTTCCAATACTCGATAACTACTCCCATTTCTTTATTAAAAGTTAATCTCCTACATCTTAAGAGCTAGTCTTCAAATTTTAAATATAGATTCATTTGTGTTTTATAGAATTTCAATTGCTTTTGTTATCCAAAACGTATTTTGAAATACTAAAACCTTGTTTCGCCTATTTTTAGTATTTTCCTACAATTGACATGGAATTTTCTTAAAATTTAATTTAAAACCAATGTGCATTGTTTTATTGTTACTTCGATTTACGCATTGTTTTCAACAATTTTCAACAAGAATGTCAACTCTGAGCGTATTGACACTTTATCACACAATTACGCATACTTATTCGAATTAAAATTATGGTTGATTGTGTAATTAGCATAAATTAAATGCAGCGCAAACACATGAACACCAAAAAAAATAGTCAAGTACTGCAAAAGCATTTGCATTAATGCATATAATTCAATTATGCGCGCTTTTTATGCAAGTGCTGGGCACACTTCAATTGTTTTCAGTGCCTTAATTAGCATTCGATTGTTTGTTAGATAAAAAAAATATAAGCAAACACAAAATTCAAATGAATAATTTCATTTAGCCAAATATTTGTGGAATTTTTGTTTGCTTTTGTTTTTGCCTTTTTTTGCGCTTTGTCAATGTCAAATAAATGTTTTAAGTGCGATAAATGTAAAAAATTTGAATTTGAATTTGAATTTGTAATTGGTAATTGCGAATTTCCATCAAAATTAATTGCTTCACTATATTGAATAGTTATATACCAATTTAGAGTGCGACTAAGCTGGCAAATAACGCGGCAATCAGCGTTTCGGATACTGAACTATTTAATTGAAACTGAAATTTAGTTGGCCGAGAGCTTTGCACCAAATATTTAATTACAGTTATTGGCTTGTGGGCCCAGAACAAAAATGAATTGCATGTTTATTTGTGATTCAATTGCTAATACCTGCCAGTCATAATTAAGTTGGCGGCTTAGCGCTTTGTTGCCAACGATATGGGAATTAAATCACTTTCGTTTCGGCCAAATTACACAGCCGCTATCTCTGTCTCAGTCTCGCCCTCAGTCTTGGCCCCTGCATGCTGATAAAGGCCAAAACTTTTGGCTTTGTTTACAGTTTGCGTATTTACGGTATATTTGGTATTTTAAAATGAATTTCGCCAGCAATCTCCAGCGAGGCGTGCGTCTGTCCAAGGTTAATTATTTAAGTGCAGTTGAATGATGCAATTTTGGCAACCGTCTCTCACAGTGTGGGCCACCTCGGCCATTACGACGTCCATTAAAAGTATTAATAAAGCACGATAGCTGATAAACATGCAAATAAACTATAAATAGGCATTTATGCACTCACACTCGTACACCACATCCATATTTATATATTCATGAAACATCGAGTTTGGCTAATTGAATCATCTGTGTGCAGCAGTTGCTTTGGCTTTAGTTTTTTGTTTTTCGCTTTCTTTTGTTTAGTTTATTTTTTTTAAGCAGTTTGCATTTGGTTCAGGACTAAGCAAACCCAATGCCTGTAGCCATTCAGCTCAAAGTATATATATATTCATTAGTGAATTTATTGGCATAAGTTAAGACCATTTAAGCCAAACAAAACAAAACTTAAGGGAAAAAAATAAGAATACACTCGATTGCTCGACTTTAATTTAGTTAGTTTAAAGGAGCGGCACCAACAAAAATGACTGAAAGGCTTAAATGATAACTGTTTCATTGTAGAACCAAATAAGTGAATAAAAGTAAAACCTAACAAAATCAGAGAGAAAATTATGAGAAAATTAACTAATTATTGTGTATTTCAAACGTAGATATATTACATTTTTTGCTTACTGTAGTTTAAATGAAATCTACATATATCTTAGACTCATAATGCAGCATAGTATATCAAAAGTTGAATTTTTTCAGATTTATTGTGAACAGCCAGTTAATATACGACAAGTAAACCTAAACATAAGTAGTTCATGTATTTAGCATAATTTCTAGTTGCATTAAATCAAATTGCTTAACCAAATTTTTAACTTCTAATCGTACGTGTCTCTGTTATAGTTGAATGTAAAAGTTTAAAATACAAATATATATATATATAGATATATATACATAATAAACAATAAGTATTTAATCGTAAATAAGCAAATTGAATTGAAATGAAAATCGAGCCGAAGCAAGAATCAAACTCGAAAACAAATAACTATTTTCATTAATAACTATCTACATTTTAAGCGGAAGTCTTCCACTACAATTACGCGCTCCCCATCCCCCATCCATTCAACTCACAGACCCCAAACAGCTCCCCGGGCCCCACATCATGCCGCGCATAATTGCCCCAAAACCAGAAATGTTACAAGCCTAACAGACGTAATGTTAGTTCTTTTGATAACAGCAGAGTAGCCGACTTTTGTAACTGTTTATGTTACTTACTTAATAAGAACTAAATTGTATATGTGTGTATTTCAAAGGTTTCTCCCCCTCAAAAGATTCAATATAAATATAATTATAAATATATAAATAATTACTACACAAGCGATAACGATAATGATAATGATTACGATAACTAGTTATAGTCGGTTAAAAATATATACTTGCTGCACAATTAATATACATATAAATCATAATAGATTAAGGATTATAATAGTTATATTAATTACCAAAAAAAAGAGTTAACAAAATATTCAAAAATTAATCTCTATTGACAAATTATCCATTCGTTGCATTGTTTTTGTTGCTGTAATATAAAAGAAAAGTTCTGTTATATATACTTAATTCTACACTAATCTAAAATATGTCTAACAACGAACTAACATGGTGCTATGAGTTACTCAGAATGCATTTCACGTTTAATATAATTATTATTACTATTATTACCATTTATTTGCCATGGTCAAGAACGTTAAAATCTGAGCCCCTTTTTAACGTCTTGAACAAGATTTTCTATTGATTTCTCTCATCTTATAGACCAAATATCGTTATTGGCATTTCAAAATAAACCAAAACGAAAATCAAAACTAAAAATATACATTTAATAGTAAAAAACTAAATAAATACATTATTACATAAGATAAACCATGTAAATACCTAATTAAAATAATCAAATGTAAAAAAAACTTAAACTATACAGCAAATTTAATCATATGTATATACGAATAAAATATATAATATAAAACAAACAAATGTAAATTATGCAACACCAAAACGTTGCAAATTGAAGCCACCAATGAATTGAATTTTTGCATGTAAGTCGAATGAAACATGAATGAAATGAAATGTATTTCGAATAAAGTATAACTAACCAGACAGACCTAAGCTAAGCGTAAACAATCCCAACTTGTACCCGAACCCAGCAGCGAACCCAGTTGTACTCCTAAGCTATGATAGTTACAAACTTTTAGCAATTAGACGCTCATATATATCATAGTTCAACTAAAGTAAACAACGTAGCAGCTAGAGAAATTCATCATTCAGTAAAAACTACGAACAAATTTTTGTAAATCTCAACAAAACCAAAACTCAACTGAACTAAACTAAACTAAAAAGCATTTAAAAACTTTAAGTTCTTTCATTGAAACTATACCATATACCATACACCACTTGGGTGCACTTGCTCTGGTATGTGTATGCGTACTGCATCTGTATCTGAAAACTGTTTTCCTAACATCTAGTAGATATATAATTAAAGTAATATACACTCACATTCATACGCATTATGAACGCCACCAATTGAAGGCATAACAATATATAATTCAAACGGTAAACACTATTAGCTAAGCGAAAATATGTCCAATTAAGGGACAATAAAAATTCTATTAAATTATATATTTAACTATTAAGCAGAACGACTAACAACAAGTAAAACGTAATCCAAATACTATGAGGCTACATTTGAACTCATCCACATCTAGCTAAAGCTACGAACTATGGAACCTACCTTCAACAACATGAAATAACGTATAATTACAGAGTTTTAAAATTACATTCGTTAAGTGAAAGGCAAAATGAAAGGAATTTGAAACAAGATACCGTTAAATCCAAAAGCCACATACATAATGTGTAATAAAAAATGAAACGTATTCTTAAATTCTTTAAAAACAAACGTCTTTTTATTTTATGTCTGCCTGCGGATATTTGACAACCTCGAGTCGCCATTTGCCAGCCAGGCGACAGTCGAAGGTCAGGGCTGAGGCCTGAAGCAAGTGCGCAAGAAAATAAAACAAAACAAACGAAAACACAAGAACTTGAACAATTCCCAAGATGTATTAAATACTTGCAAGAGCAGCCTTTCCTCATCTCTTTCTGCCACGTGCGCTAAACCAGAGATTTAAACAAATCCAAATTCGCAATAGCTATTGATTTTTCGCACAATCGAAACGCAAAGCCCGAGTCTTAAGAGGCTAACAGCATTGCCAACAGGGTTGTCAACGCGCTCAAATCTATTTGCTAAAATAAAACAAGGTAAGCACAATGCGTGAGCATACTTTGGGGAATCCGCAAACGTACAAAATTCGTAGCATACTTTTGCGCTGAATCTAAAATGAAGCAAATTCATTGGGAATGAGCTAAACCGAAATTTGTGCAATCATTTGGGATTGAACTAACCAGATTTAAAAACTAAAAATCAATTTTCTTATTTTAATTTTATTTATTTATTTTTATTTATTTTATTATTATTATTTTTTTTTTAATCCATTAGTATATATATATATATATATTGCACATATAAATATAATATAAAAGGTAAAAAGTAAAAGAATAAAAAAAATTAATATAATTATTAATAAGATGACAAAAAACAGCATAGATTTTCTGGATCTAGTTTATATACCTTCCATAGCATCTAAGGATTAAATATTGAATTGAAATATCTTTATTATTATTATTTTTTTTTTTAATTATTTATTTTAATTATTTTTTTATTTTATTTTATTTTATTTATTTATTTTTATTTTTTTTTATTTATTTATTTTTTTTTTTTTTTTTTTTTTGCTAAATATAATATAAAATTTAAAATTCTATATTATATAGATGATTATTTTCCAGTTTTCTCCATTAATTTTAAATACAGGTAACCAGGATATTGCCTATACACTATGCATCTATTTAGGAGTCTTTCGAAAACTATCATTTAATACTTGATTGCTAAGATTTTTGAAGCCGCGTTGACCTATTTTATTTAATGCTCCTATTGACAAAACCATCAGTGGATAGAAACGGATATATATGTATATGTTCTATCACTATCTGTCCATCCAGTTCTAAATGTTGATTTCTAATATAGCAAAATGTGTATCATATTTTTAATAATCTCATAACGAAAAATCAATCAAATATAAATGCATCTCTTTGGTTATTATAGCTACTCAAAATTTAAGAGCAATCACATCCGCTATGAGCAATAAAGAAAATTTGATTGCCATGCAACATGAGTAATTCAAGCTCAGTTGATGGCTGGCAAAAAACCTCTTAAATAAAATGTGTCACAGTGCACAGCGCCATTAATCAGAAATCAAAACACATCTAAAGTTTGCCAGGTAGCCAAATGGGTAAATAGACAGGTGCTAATTGCTCACATGCTGTGAGTGTAACCACAAAGTGTGCCGCCC